CAGGAGCTGTTGTTAATTTCTTGCTTGATCTTGTCAATATGGAAAACAAAGCATAAACACATACAAATCCAAATGCTCCTATAACCAAATGGTAAGCATATTTTTCAAAAAAGCTTGGCTATGTTTAATTACGTCTTTTCATTGCTTAAGCTGCTTTCTCTCTTTAAGCAACCTTTTCTGGGGATTAAGGAGAAGGACTTCTTTATCTTTGAGACACTTAACTCATCTATTAATTTAATTATTCAACACGTTTTATTAATTTAGTTATATTTATATATACTGTAAAAATTATATATTTTAATTAAATCATAAGAAGAATGCATGTTCAAGGGCTTAACTTGCATTTATTCTTTTTTTCTATTCATATTATATTAAATTTATACATGATCATAAATAAAGATTTTTTCAAGTAAGTCAATCCCTTCTTTACTAACTAAATTTTAATTCTTTCTGTTTATTAATCTTGTAAAATCTATTCGATTCTAAACTAAAGGAAGTTCATCCAGATCTAACTTAATATCATATTTCTGTAAGTATTCATATAAATCATTTGTTCCTAACATAGATATTATTTTCTTTAATTAATCTTCATTATCCTTTCCAGGTAATAATGGATGTGTCTTAAATATAAAATCTGCCAACATACATCCTACTGCCCATATATCTATTGAATAATCATATTATTTATATTTCATTAATAATTCTGGTGCTTTATAGTATCTGGTACCCATTTTAGTAGATTGCTGTCTTCCTTCATCATAAAATTAACTTAAACCCCAATCAATTAATATAATATTATCATTATCATCAACTAAAACATTTGAACCTTTAATATCTCTATGCATAATATGTATTTCATGTGCTTTATTTAGAGCAGTAAATATTTATTTAAAGTAATTTTTCACTTATTATAAAGAATAATCCCCGTTCTTACGGATATCATCTAAACATCTAGTTGTATTTTAATATGCAAATATAATAGTGGCTTCAATGTGTTCTACCTTATGTGATTATTTTTTTGAATCCATCTTAGGAGTTTCTTGATTTTGATTTTCAACACCAAAATCAAAAAAATCATCTGATTCTTCATCATCTCCTTTGATTGCATCTATTATCTAAACAATATTTGGTAATCCTTATAAAGCTTTAAGAATCTAAATTTCTCTATTTACAACTCTTTCTCTGCTACCTTTAATATGTTTTAAAACAACAGGTTCTTAATCTTCAACTCTGTAGCCTAAGTAAACTTCAGAAAAAGCACCTTTTCCTATCATTTCTGTGAATGCATAATCAAAAATGTTTCCAGAATTGTAATTCAAATAAAAATCTACATCATCAGAAATGAGTTATTATTATTATTCATATGTAAATGCTAAGATTTGAATAGGCAAGAAAAGGAAAAAAGGTATCATAGATAAAAAAACGTATTTTTTATATAATGTATAAGGTTGAAATAAATTCATAAAATTTTAGAATCACTCCATTCTTTATTACAAAGTGGACATGTATTGCTTTATTTTAGCCATCTATCAATACAATGTTTATGAAATCCATGATTACAAAGTCCTTAAACTATTTTACACTAAGTAATTGATATAAAAGAGTAATACTTCATCTTAAACTTGGTTAGCTTCACACTCCAAACATTATCCAAATAGACTCTATCTATCAATAGCACATCTATCATCTTTAATATTCCATCTCCAAACACCTACAGCTTACCATGATTTGATTTCTATTTTATTTTCTTAATCCATTATTAAAAATAATATGAAAAATAATGACAATCTATAAAGTTATACAGTTGAAAAGAGAATAGGAGAAGGCGCATTTGCTACAGTGTATTTATTGCAATATAACATTTAAAAGTTACTTAGCTGCAGTTCAAGAAACAGGAGATAAAGTTGCAATTAAAAAAGCTCCTATAGATAAAAAATATAAAAACAGAGAACTTGCTAATTTAAAATTATTAGGAGATCATCCAAATATTATTGCTTTAAAAGATGCTTTTTATGTTGTTGGCTAAAAGTATATCATTTATTTTATAATCTAAATAGTGAAGAAGTTTATATAAATTATGTAATGGAATATATGCCAGAAAATTTATCAGATTATTTAAGGAATTAAAAAAAACAAAAACAATATTTAAATAAAATTCAACTATAGATTATAACTTATTAACTGTTACGTGGTTTGGCCTTTATACATGGAAAAGGGATGGCACATCGAGATATAAAACCTTAAAACATATTAATTGAAGGAACAATTGTTAAATATTGTGATTTTGGATCTGCAAAAATCATTTCAGGAGGATAAATTAATACTTCCTATTTATGTTCAAGACATTATAGAGCACCTGAATTGATATTTGGAGCTACTGATTATTCTACTAGTATAGATATTTGGTCTTTGGGTTGTGTTTTTGCTGAACTCATTTTATTGGAACCACTATTTCCTGGTGAAAGTTCAGTTGATCAATTAGTTGAAATTATGAAAGTCTTAGGAACTCCAACAGCTAATGATATAGTAGAATTCAATGTATCTAATACAGATTTTAAATTTCCTTAAGTAAAAGGACATCCTTGGTCTAAAGTTTTTTTAAAATATAAACCAGATCCTTCATTTATTGATTTAATTAAAAAAATGGTTACGTAATTGATTTATATTATTATATAAAGTTACTAACCTTAATAAAGAATCAAACCATTTATGGCTTTAATGCATCCATTCTTTAATGATTTAAGAGAATAAAAATGTGAGGAAATTCCAAAAATATTATGGTAATTCACTCCAGAAGAAGAGAATATCTTTGGAAAATAACCATTAAAACATTTAATGCCATCATGTGGATAATGATTATTAATTTTATAATACTATTGGAAATCTCATGCATTTAAATTAATTTTTAATATTAAAGAATTATTACGATTTTTATGGATCAACAAATTAAAAAAGTATTTCACACAGCTTTAGTGTTAGTACCACCAAAAAATTGCATTGATTAAATATAACTCTTAAGAAAACAACATGATAAAGCTTATGAAAGATGGATGCCTCATGTTAATTTATGTTTTCCTTTTGTTGATCCTGCTTAATTTGATTAAGTATTTTAGAATCTTTAAAATCATTTGAGTAAGAAATGAATACATAAAATAGAAAATTTTCCTGCTTTTTAAGTTAGATTACGAGAATTTAATCACTTTCAACATGGAAAAAATTGTGTTATGTGGTTAAAACCAGAAGCTGAAAATGATGGAATCTAATTATTATATCAAGAAATATTAAAAGTCTATCCTTAATTAGATGATTTAAATAAGAAATCAGAAAATGGTTTCTAACCTCATGTAACAGTTGGATAGTTTGGAACAAATTAAATTGAATAAAGAAAAAAAGGATTTTAACCATAATTTTAGGAAGTCCAATTTCAATGCTAGGAAATACATATGATTAGTAGAAATGGATAAGATGATCCTTTTAAGATAATTCATACAATTAAGTATGATTTTGTTATTATTACTAGATTTAAGACAGATAACCCATAAGCATATGAATATCCAGGTTAAAAATGAATAAATTATTGTTAATAATAAATATAGTATATTACTATGTAAAGTTTTGAGATTTTAATTGCTTAAGTTTAACACAAAAATGAATTAGTTCATCAATTACTTGAATAAGCCTATGAAACAGAATAAAAATAATTAGATAATAACTAAGTAACTAAGGCAATTGAATATATTCTTGAAAACCCCTATCTTGGATTTTTTTTAATTTATACAGAGAATCATCAAATTTTTGGATAAATTCTAATGACAAAAGAATATAATATATATTCAGGATTGACATGTTGGTTTTAATCTGTATTTTTATGGTTTGGTTAAAACTTAGGTTTATGTAAAGAAGAATCATAGATAGAAGGGAATTTTTAAGAAAATGCATAAAGAGTTTTTGAAATATGCTGCAAAGGAGAAAGCAGTGACTAAATTATATGTTGAATTTGAAAATAAAAATGCAATTAAAGTTTATGAAAAATTAGGAATGGTAAGAACAGATGAGACAATATTTGAAGATGATTTTGTATTTCATCCTGTGAAGTAAGAACAAATTAATAATAGATTAGAATAATTAATCTTGGTTAAGATTGTGTAACAAGAAGTACAAGTAACAAAAAAGAAATAGAGGATTTAATAAAGAAAGGAAAGAGTATATTAGGTAATGATTTAAATCAATAATTAAAAATTGAGTATTGTTTAAATAATAACAAAAATTCATTTGTGATTGCAGAAAGCTAAACTGATTATTTAATAGGTTTATATTTCTTAGAATTTAGTGATTGGAGAAATGGAGTATAATTATATTATATTCATAGTTAATTCTTTGGTTTTATGATTTTATCAGTTCAACTTATAATAATGGATTGATTAGTATGATGATAAGCAGTTTGTTGAATTCAATAAAACAAAAGCAAATAAAGTTTAATTCTGAAGTAAAAGGAATAAGAATACTTATAGATAAATCAAAAGGATAACGATTAGAATAATTATTAGAAGTTGTTGGTCTAAAAGAATCACACTATTATATATATTATTAAAAAAGTGATTGATATGAACAAGTATTTTAAATAAATAAAGTAATATGATTTGATTTTCAATGATTTAAGAAAGTTAATTACATGCTTAATTCGAATTTATTTAATAAAATAAATGGCAGATTAAGAAAAGAACTTGAATCCTCCTAAAGATTAACCAGATCAAGAATAATTTCTTTTAGAACCTGGTAATGAAAATGGATAAATTTTTGATATGGAGGGTTAATAATAAACTCAAAAAGATGTTGATTTAAATCGATTAAATGAGGATCAAAAAAATAAGAATCAAGAAGACCCTAAATTGATGAGAAGAGATTTAATAAAAAAGAAGAAGAAGAATGAACAAAAAGAAAGATTAATATCAGCTTAAAGATTAAAACGATTATTGAAAAGGAAACCAATAGATAAAATTAGATTAGCTTACTAAGCATATTTTTTTATAGTTAGTATTGTTGTACTAACTTTAAGTATTTTATCTTTCAGAGATTAAACAGTTTATTAAGTAGATTATGATTAGTTTATCAATAATGTTAAATCCTATGTTGTTGATGATATTAAATTCACTTATACAAATAAAGATTGTTAGACTTAATTTGGTAGTGAAGTATTTATTTTTTCATATCATAGTATTCTTCATTTTATTAATATAATTGGCCAGGATCTATGATAGGATGTGATTGTAGTAAAGGATTTAATTTCTCTACATTGACAGAATACAATATTGATGCGTTTTTCAGTGAATCTTTTATGCTTGGCCGTATTTGTAGTTAAGATTTACTCTCTAAGAATTGTACTACAGTGAACGAACAACAACCAAAGATCTTCAACTCTTGGAATGATGGATCTTTTGGAAGACGTAATAGTTAGAACAAATATTATTAGCTTTTGTATTATGTGCTAGAAGAAGAATAGGAATTGATTTATAATCAAACTCATCAAATTGTCAATTACAAAATAAAACTACTTGTGGAACAGGTGATAATATCTTCTGTGTTCCATAGGATATAAGTTGTCCCATTACAGAAATAGGATTTACATCCAATTCTAATTATTAAAATTTAAAATCTAAAAATAATATTAATACTGGAGATATTTTTGATCTTGGAGCTGGGTTCTACTTTTACTTTATTAAAAATACTTCTAATTTACCTCTTGTAGAATTTTAAGTGTCTGAAGGTGATAAAATATGTAGAAGAAATTAAGATTAAAATATATCTCCAAATAGAATTGATTATCCGTTAATGTTAAAAGGAAGAAAATAATGTGAAAACACAGATTCTCTTTTCTAAATGATACATTCTATAGATGAAGAATAGTTCTATCTTTCAAATAATGTAATTTATTTGTCTGAAAAATTACCTTATTTTAACATTGATACAAAATATAATTGGTCTATTCACACAAAAACATATATTCCTTGGGCTTCTTAGTGTCGTGGTGAACTATTTGATAATGTCTTATAAGAAGGAGCTACTTTACATTAGGTTTACACAGCTTTAAGAGTATAATTAGGTGTTACTATTGCATATTTTATTGTTATTGGTCTTATTTTTAATATAGTTGGAACTATGACTGCTTGTAATTTTGCTTGGTCTTGCATGGCTGGTAATTTATAATTATTATTAACTATTTTAGCTAGTCCTGAATCATAATATAATTATGTCTTTTTATTAGAAATTGGATTCAAAATATTATTATAAATTGCTGAAATCGTTGTAATTATAGTCTCTTTTGCTATCATAAATGAAAAAAGAAAATTAATTAAACAAGTCAACGACAATGAATGTGTAAATGATCCTGTTAGTAACTTTTTATTTACTAATTTGGAAAGTGATTTAACTAAATTTGCTTGGTCTTACAATCTTGCTAATTTAGTTATCTTTGCTTTTACACTTATATTGGATCTTATAATTATTAAACATTCAATCAATTAAGGACATCATCATGGAGCAAAAAAACTTCATGAAAAAGGAGAACATCAAGAATTAGACATTGGATCTCGTGGTGAATTAGGAAATTAATAAGATATTAAGAGTGATTTTAAAATTTAAGCTAAAACAGAGCTTTAATAAATTCCATTGTGATGATTATTTTGAATAATAAAAATTATTATATTATTTTAATTTTATAATCAATAAGAATTAATTTTTGTTTATCATGGTGGTTATTTATTTCTATTTTTTGAAATACATAAGATAATTCAATTAATTGTTGTATATAAAATATTTTTGTTTAGAAATTATTTTTTTTTAAGAATTTGAAGTATGATACAAAAGAATTTGAAGTATGATACAAAACTGAAAGAAAAGTAGCAAAATTATTTCTTATGTTTCAAAAATTAATCTATTTTCTTAATAATTAAGTTAATTTTTATTTATAAAAATAACTTAAAAAAGTTAAATAAATGTCAAATTAATAAAGACCAATTAAATATAAGAAATAAGAATATTTAATTTAGCAATGAAAAACTAAATCATGAGTCAGTTGATTAAAGGATTAAAAAAATGTAAATTTTGTTACAGACAGAGTAGAGAAACATTATGAAATGGAAGTATATAATAAATAGATAAAATTATATATAATTAATAAGCTTTGTTGAACATAGACTTTATATTTGTATGTATAGCACAGATTGTTAGAAGCCATAAGTTTTTTATGAGTTTTATCAGGTTAAAAATTTTAAGAATAGTTTTTATATAAAGCTTATTGTTCAATAAAAATTAAATGAACCTTTGAACAGTTATGTTAATTTCTATAATGAAAATATGAAAATAATATCATAATTCAAGGGAAAAAGATACTGATATTGAAATAGAGATTATTTAATTAAAAACTTTGTTTGATTAGGATTAGATTATCATTGAATATTTAATGAAACTATAAAAATTTTAAATTAATTAGATTAGAATTATATGACAATAGATTAAATTTATATGGTTTCTTAAAATAAATTATTTTTAAATAACAAAGAAGAAAAAGAATTGGATTGATATGATTTGAATAAACTTTTTGTGAAATAGACCACTTTTGCCTACTTGAATAAATGTTAACTTAGATAGTATATTTAAGAATGATAAAATAAAAAATAGTTTATGAATAGAATATAGAGTTAATTTATTTTAGAAAAATGTTATGCTGAGAAAATTGAATATCTTTGGAATAATTAATTATTAGTATAAGTGAAAGAGTCTATATCTAAAATAATGTGTAGAAAGAGTAATAATGTTAAGAGTAAGAGGGATATGTTTATTACATAATGAAAAATGGAAAAAGATATTGAGTAAGAGATGAGTGATTAAGGATAATAAAATTTAAAATTAGATTTAAAATTAATTAAAATACAATCAATGCCTGCTAAAAAGAGAACTGTGAGAATTGGTAATTGGTATAAGAGTGATGATGAGAAAGTCCATTTCATTAGAAAGAGAAAAGTATAATGATATAAAATAAAAAAGGCTCCTAGACCATCTAAATTGAGAAAGATTGTTCCTGGTTAAGTGTTAATCTTATTGTCTGGAAGATTCTAAGGAAAAAGAGTAGTATTCTTGAAGTAACTTAAATCTGGATTGTTGCTTGTAACAGGTCCATTCAAAATTAATGGTGTCCCACTTAAAAGAGTTAATTCAGCATATGTTATCCCAACATCCACAAAAGTTGATGTTTCTGGTGTTAATGCCACTTAAATTGAAGACGATTATTTCAAAAGAACATAAGCTTAAAGACGTAAGAATGAATAAGGATTTTGGGCCAAAAGAGGAGAAGTAATTTATATCTATATATATTTATATTAGCTCACAGCTGAATAATAAGCAACAGAAAAAACTAGATTAGAAGGAAAGAGAAATACATAAAAATCAGTTGATGCTGCATTGATCACTGCAATTAAGAAAACTTAACTTTTGAAATAATATCTTGGTGCTCGTTTCACCATTGGAAAAACCACAAGACCTCATGAGTTAGTCTTTTGATCATTACCAAGATTTTATCGTACAATAATAAATATTATAAATCAATCTAAATAAATATTTATCTCTCTTCAAAATAAACTCATCTAATTATTCTTATTCTCTTTCTAACTAATATATCTTGTTCTTAAATAAGGCTACTACTATCCTACATTTAAAATCTTATCAACATTCATTTAACATTCAATCTCTCCACTTTTTTTATTATATTTTATATATACTTAACTCTTGTTAATGAAGCACTCTATTACAATTAATTTTTGTATTTCTAATAAGGATTTTATAACTACTCTAATTTTTTTTACATTATTTACTCATTATTTTATAATTCTTTCACCTTCTATTCCAATTCTACTACCTTTTACTATAATTCCTACTTTTCTATTCTCATTAACTTTAATAAACAATTAGAATTATCATCAATTTCATCATATTGATTTCTCACTTTTTCTATTAATTATTTCAATGTATTCATTGATTATTTATTTTATTAGATATGTAAATCTATACCTTTTTAATTATTACATAATATTCTATCTTCATTTTCAAAGTTGTTTTCATTATCTATACTCTTTTGAAATTCCATTAAAAATGAATCACATTGTTAATTAATGGATGATTATAATTTCTGGAATTTATCTTTTAAATTACTACAATTTCCACACATAGTTTATCCAAATTTAATAGTCTACAATTATTATGTCAAAATCTTTATTTGTTCATCTTTTTACTCTAACAAATTTTTTAGTTCCTTAATAACTAAAATTTTAGATTTCTCAATATTTTCACTACCTTCATTTGGTCTCTTTTTTTATTCAGAAGGACCAAAGAAATTTGCAATAACTGAACTTAAAGATCCTGATTATTTAACTCTTTAAGATAATTAATTGTTTTAGGTACTTCGATGAGTAGTTTCTTTTGATTAAGTTCTTTCTTTAATTTAATCATGAATTGATTTGCAGACTAATTTTTATTAGCTTTTTGATAAATTGAGTGATAATTATGATTAGTTACTTTTATCGCACAAAATATACTTCTATTGTTAATGTTGCATTAATTTAACGAATATTATTTATATCAAAATTAACCAAAAATAGTTAATAAAATTTTTATGAATTCTATAAAATCATTAATAAGCTGCAACAATTTAATTGAGACTATCATTAACTTCATAATCAATATTAAAAAATTGTTTTGGAACTTATTAAAATTTATTAATAGTTTTTTCCAAAAGATTTACATTATTACTATGATTACTAATTTAAGCAATACCAGGGTAATTTTTCTCAAGTATACCCATTTGAGCAGGAATTTATGTAATATCTTAAACCCATTTAAGTTATTCTAAGTTTGGTTCTCCTCTAATAATAATCCCTGTTTTATTAAATTTACCTTCTTGATAATTAATACCTCCAAAATTATTAGCAAAGGCATTTACATATGTGTTATCAAAACCACAAGATAAGAATTTTTAATCATAATCTAAAAATAGATGTTAAGAAAATGTTGTGATATCAAATTACTTTTTATATGTTTGATTAATTGAAGCTAAACAAAAACTTAAGAATTATGAAATATTTCTAGGAGGATAGGTTGTATATTATTTATTTTCTAAAAATACACTTCCATTTATCTATAAACAAACTTCTGCAAATTCTTTAAGCATTTCATAACACTTTAACATACTTATTTGTTATGAATATGATATTTAATCTTCAATTAAGTTTACAAAGTAAAATGGAAGTGTAGGTATCAAGGATTATTATTCTTTAATGTAATTATCATAATTTTAATTAGTTGTATTGATAACAACTATTCCTTGTAAGCTTTCACATTTCTCAATCATTTATCTAAATGATGAAAACTATCAAATAAATATCATTATATACATTTTATTTAGCATATAATTTCTTCTTTTGAAATTATGTATCACAATCAACAAAAATGGTTTTAGGAATAAATTGTCCATTTTAAGTTTCATAATAAAAGGATTTAGCTAAAAAATCTGATTCTTTATTTAAAAGATTTAAATCTTGTATTTGATTTTCAGTAGCTAATTATTCTTATAGATGATCTCCGATTATACCTCCATTCCATCCTAAGTTAAGAATGATTAATTCCTTCATTTATTTAATACTATATATATTAATGAATTAGTTAATTATGAGATAAATAATTTGGAATAAATTATTAAAAGATTTATTTAATATTTTGAAATGGGAAAATTGTAAGCAATTGTTATATAGATAGCTTGAAACCAGGTCGTTTAGTAGTTATGCTTGCAGGTAGATAAGCAGGAAAGAAAGCTATTTTGATTAAAGCAAATGAAGAATCAACTAAAGTAAATCAAAATATGATTTATTTTAGGATGCAAAATTCCCAAATGGTTTAGTTGTTGGTATCTAAAGATATCCAAGAAAAGTAACCAAGAGAATGGGTTAAAAACAAATCAGAAAGCGAACTACATTGAAGGTGTTCATTAAATAATTAAATCTTAATCACATTATGCCAACCAGGTAATTATTTTATACAATTTTATTTTAGATATAGATTAGAAGAATCAACATTGAAGGAAGTTAGAGATAGAATTGAAAGAGTCAAGGAATCTGAATTAAAGAATGTTGAAAAAAGAAAAGAATTGAGAAAGAATCTTAGAAAATACTTAGCTGAGAAATACAGAACATTACCAGCAGGTAGTTTGGCTGATAAGAAAGCTTAATCAAGATTCCTATTCTCAAAATTGAGATTCTGATATAATAAAGTATAATATAAAATAAATTATTATTGTAATTGCTTATCTCATTCATATATCTATTTAAATTCTTTTTATTTTCAATCTAACCTTCTCTAAATTCCATTTATATGAATTATTTTAAATATCAATTTATTTAAACTTCTAATACATATCGTAAACAAGATGGCCTTTTTGGAATCTTAATAATTTTAGCAATGATTGTTCATTAATAAAAGATAATTTTAAAATCACTATAGTGTCATTGAATATTATTTATAAAATATATCTAAAATTTAGAAGATTATAGCTTTTATTTTATTAAATCAAAATTTGAGTAGGATTCATGATGATATTAAATTATTAGAGTAGATAAACTCTTATTATTTCCTTGTAAGAAAAATGATTTTACAGGGGGGAGATGAGAATCTAAAATCTGCTGATATTAAAAAATAAAATATATATAATATATATGAACCAAAAGTCCAAAAAAGTGCATGCAGATCCTCAGATAGAACTAAAATCTTAAAATCGCTTAAGATAAATACGTGTAGACACATATGGTTAGCAAATTTTGAAAGGATAAAAAAATCATAAAATTGCATTCAAAGAACATATAAAAACAATTCATATAGTAGAGAATTGGAAATTGTACAATCTTGATCATATGGATAAGGAAGATGATTCTTGTCCATGTTAACTAATTTGATGATTTTAATGATAGTTTATTTTTGATTTCAGTTGTTATAATAAAATGCAGTTTCGATTTATATACAAATTAGCTATTATTTGTGTGAAGTTGATATTATCACGTAAATTCTTATGATGAGAATAAAGAAATTAATTTCTTAAATTGAGATATTATTTAAAATATGTACCCTTAAGGCACTTAATATCCAAACTCTAAGTATAAAACCTAACTTTGTAGACATTTTAGTATTGATTTAATATGTATGTGAATAGCACAGAATGGAGTTTGCGCTTTAGCAATAAGATGTTAATTTGCTCATGGACCATAAGAACTTCGATAGAATGCTCAATAGCCTCAAAGTTTGCCAGAGTAAACTATTTAAACAAATACATTTAATAAAGTATAAGGAATCAATCCTATGATTGTGAATTACAAAAGTAATTATAAAGGATTAATTAATGTAGCTTAATTATGTAAGCATTTTAATCCTTAAACTGGATTATGTAAGAATGGTCCTACATGCACATTTGCACATGGGGAAACAGAGTTAAATACAATGCCATATTTATAAAATTAATACTTGTAATCCTTATATTTGATTATTTCTGGTTAGATTGATGTAATAACAAATGAAATAGATGAATTAATAATAAATGCAGGCAGAATTAACTTAGCAAATATTAGTGATGATTTTAACAAATATGGAACATATATTTCCAGGTTAGCAAGTATTAAATTGTGTAAATATTAAGTAAATTCTTACATTGCTGAAATAAGGATAAGATAAGGCAAAATCAGGAGATACATAAGGAGCAAGTGAAATCATTAAATTAATAATACACGATTAGGATAGATCGAAAGAAGAGAAATAGTAATATCAATAAATTTATAATAATGCTTAAAGGCATTATGATTAAAAATTGAAAGAGATTTAGTCTTCATAGTAGTAGTCATAGCTTTATTGAAATATATTATTATATATACAGATATTATAAATGAAGATTGTTATTAAATTTAGAATAATAGTAAAATAGTATTAAATTGGAATAATAGCAAATAATTTGAAGATATGTTTATAATTAATATACATATTTCATTAGATTTATTACTGCTATTATTTTTACAATAAGAGTTGCTTCCACTGTTTTAAGTATTCAATAATTTATAATATATTTTACTCTAATTAAGGTACTTCTTCATTATTTAATTCCATAATTATATTTTGTTTATAAGAGCTAACATAATAACAATAAATAAATAAACCTTTCCACCTCATCTTTGCTGACATCTAAGATTTCACATTCAATATTTTCAGTGATCTTTTTTTCTTCATATCCTCTAGCTTTAAGTCTATCATATAGAACAGTATTATTGGTTCTGAGAAGAACAACCAAATCAAACCACTAAATATATATATCAATTAAATACTCTTTCAGGAAAGAATGAAGATGTATGAAAATCTATAATCATTCCACCAGTTTGCATAGCTTCTTCTAATTCATCACATACCATATCCTAATCAAATTCAGGTACATTAAATTCTTGATTCCATTACTTATATAATTTCTTTTAATTTATTAATAATCCAACATCAACATATTAAAGACCCTCAATATGTTCACTTAACAATTTTCCTAATGTACTTTTTCCTACTCCGGGTGTTCCAGTAACCAAAATGTTAGGTTTTAATCTATTATTTTCGATTTCCATAAATTAATTATAAAATTATTGTATTAAATAAACTATTTTATTCATTTAATTTCAGAACGCGGTTGTGGTGTAGTGGTTATCACGTCAGTCTCACACACTGAAGGTCCCCAGTTCGAAACTGGGCAATCGCAGTTTTTTATTTAATAAATTTATTTATTTTTTATTATATTTATCTTCCTATCATAAACTTAGATCTATATAATAATTATACTATATATATATATATTTAGTATATTATTCATATTATCTAAAAATTAATAATATCCTAATAAATCACATATATTTATAAAAGTAAATGTTGACAAACATTAATTTATTAACAAAAATTAGATTAAGTAAATTTATTGAGGAAGATCAAATAATTTTAAGTAATATTTTCATTTGGATTGCTTTTATTTAGAAATACATCATATAAAGATATTTTTCATGATGAAAATCTATCAATAAAAAGAATATCAAGTTAATTGCATTATTCAAACTTTTCTAAAGAAATTTTTAAATTATTACTTTAAAGAAAGACCAAAAAAGCGTTTAATATTATTTAGAAAGTCTTTAAATATTCTGAATATATAAATATATCGATGATATTGAATTGTGAAAAAATGCAATTAAGTTAGAATCTAAAAAGAATTCTTTCTTAGGTTCATGTTTGATATTAAATAACATTTATATTGAAGATATTACTGATCGATAATATATGTAATATTACCAATCCCTGTTTTAATCTTCTAATTTATTTTGCACCATAGACAAACCACACTCTTTATAATAATTTCTTTTAAATTAAACAGTGTGGAGATACAGGGTGCGTATTTTAGTTATATTACAAGTATATACTCTCCCGTAGACTCAAATATATTCAATTTAAGGTGTCGAAGCGCCCTCAACAATGAAATTAATCAAAGTTTCTGAATACAGCCTTAAGGTTTTGGGAGAGATTACATTTATCACAAATTTTATTAACAATCTTCACATTATGTTAGACAGGTATGCAAAACGCAATACCTGAAAATGTATGCCAAGCTGTATATTTTATTTGTGATTTTAAAAAATATTTTAATTAATTAAATCCATCAAATATTTATTCCTCTTTTCAATCTTCAGATTACCCATCTTTTCAAATGCTTTTTTATACTAATTCAAATCTTTTACAAATTTATCAAATTAAATTTCAGAACCATTTGTGAAAAATATTATTTTATTTTCAATCATAATAATTCTAATCATTAACAATCAAATATAAGAAAACTATATTCATTAATTATTATATTATTTTTAAGAATTGAATATTAAATTTATTATGAGATTCCAATTAAGGAAAACTATTTATAATTAATAATTAAAATTTTATTGTTCGATTAACGGAATAAAAAAATGAAAAATTCCCTTACTAAATTTTATACTTTAAACTCCTTTTCATAAGATAAAACATATACCTTTGTGAAATTAAGAAAAGAGTAATTATAGGAAGAAATAATTAGAATGAATGAAGAAACAGAATTTGAAGTATTGATAATTATTAATTTATAAGGATTTTGCTGAATTTAAGACATTAAATTAGAATGAAACCATAATCTCAATTAAATATACTGTTGATCAATTTTATGATCCTTTTTAATAATAGGAGATTAAAGTAGAGCATTATGTTTAAGAATTGATTTATAATGTAAGACGAAAATATCCATGGATTACATTATTGGAAAAACGAATATCTTAATCTTCTGAATTACTTTGTTAAATTTAAATATACAATCAGAAACATAAGATTGTTTTATATAATAAACCTTTTACAAATACTTAACATATTTTGGAATTGTTAAAATTATATATTGAGAGAGGAACAATCAATATTAAATTTATATGTCATAATTAAGATGTGATTGCATTAGGTGGACATTTGAATAATTTATTTGAAGAAGCTTTTATTACAATATCTTAGAAAGATAAATTATAAATAAATGATAAATCACACATTCCTGCTAAATTAATAACTATTAATAAGAAGTTAACATCAAACTTTATTAATTTCAGAGAACTTCCTTTGAATAATGAATATGTAGTTGACATTTAAGGAAAGAATTTTAAGTATGTTCATCAAGATGTAAATTTCAATGAGAATGTAATAGAATTAGAAAGAATTGATATTATATAGGCTAAATATAAATTAATTTATTAAGGTAAGCTTGTTGAAGCAGATAAATTTGCAGTCAATGGTAATCCTATAATTTTCAATGGAGAATATAGATTTTGGACAAAACCTTAAACAGAATATGTTGTAAGCATAGAGAAATTAGATTTCTATCCTAAATAACATATTTTGATAACTAAAGGTTTGGGAGAATACAAATAAGAAATAGAAATGATTAAGATATAGAAAACAATTTTAAAAATCACTAGTAAGAATATTATAGATTCATCAATACTTGATAATGTGGATATTAGTATTGATGGTAATGCTATTGGATAAACTAATAAAAATGGAACTATAGTAATTTAAAATCTTGAATTGAAAAGTATTGTAATAAAAGCAACAAAAAAGGGATTTCTTACTATGCCTTTAAAATTTGATATTTCTGCAAATAATATTGGTTAAAGTCTATTAATAGAGATGTTTCCAGATTATTTTAGTTTAATGAATTAATTTCATATTCTGGTAGTTAAACCTAAGAGTGCTAAGAAATTATCACTTTAGTTGGTTGATTTAGATGAATAAAACAAAAATAATATCTAATAAAAGTTAGTTCCATATCATAATGGTGTTGTAGTGAATTATGGGATTCATATTGGAAACTTTGATGTATTTGACAAATAGAAAAACATATATTAATTATACATTAAAGATTCTAAAGAAGTTTTACCTAGATGTAGATAGACAAGTACTAATACAAGTAAGAAATCTTAACATGTTAATTCATCACCATTAAATTAAATGAAAACAAGAATAATAAATTAAAATTCAGATTTAAAAACAGAGAGAGGCTTAAATTAAATTAAAAAAACTACTGCTAATTTGGAAGTTGAGCATTTACATATTTATCTATCTTTTGGAATGGATATATTATGTTCACAAATTTTTGAGGTTGAAAAATTTACCTCAAAAGTTTATGCAACAATAAATTGTATAAATTATTGAATTATATTTTTAGTGCAACGAAGAATTGTTGAATTAGATGGTAAGGCATATAGTTGTGGAAAAGAAAAGTCTCAGTAAAAAATGAATAAAAGAAGTCAAACTGGAAATATTCTATAATTATTAACAAATCAAATATGATTACTAAGATATATGAAACATTTAAATAAAATATCAATATTTTAAAATAGTTTATAAAATATAGACTAAATATAGAACTCTTTATAATATTTAAGTTATATAATAAAGAATTCATATAATTAATTATAAATAAATTAAGAAATTTTCATGAATAATTCTCATATAAATGATGATACAAGTTATTGTTGTTTAGTGAATAGTAGAAGAAATTCAGATTCATTTTTTGCAAATCATGTTATTGATGATTAAGTAAAAATGTTTCTAATTTAGGGTGATGTATTAAGCACTACTGGAGTTCTGTTATAATTATATAAAGGAGGATAAAATATTGAAGTTATTGCATCAAATTTAGAAAAAGTGAGATTAAATCCAAATTGGTTAAGTTAGAAAAGAGATGATTTAGAATATTATATACCATAGTTTATCAATTACTTGGTATTTAGAGGCAATAATAAAGAATTAATAGATTTCTTAATAAATGTATGTTAAAATAACTTTTTCTTTGCCCATTTAACATATTTCTAATTAAAATCCTTATCATAAATAGTAAATAAATAAGTAATATAACTAAAAGAAGTAATGAAATTTTTAGATGAATATTAAGATTCAATGAAAAGGTAATTTGGAGATGAATATTTAATAAATGGTTAAGAATTTGTATCACATAATCCAAATTAAGAGGTAATTTTAATATATGGAACTGCAGTTTATGATTAACAGACACCTAAAATTAATGCTAATGAAATAAATATAAAATAATATGTTTCAATGAATTAAGAAGATGAAGAAATTAAAGAGAAAAATATTGGATTTCTTTCAACAATCAATTTTTGGAATGATATAATTAGAATATCTGAAAGGTAAATTTGATAAAAATTAGACTTTATCGAGCTTATCCATAGATAATATCTTTAAAGGCAGATTTATAAAGAATAAATTAGAATCTACCATCTTGTGTATATATTCCATTTGTAAAGGATCAAATTAGAAATTACGTAATCCTAAACATAGTAGCATCTGAATGTAAGGTGTTTTCAACCAAAGAAAGATCACCATTTTATATTTGTTTGGAAATCTATAGACCAGATGTTGAAAAAGATTAAAGAAATGATTATAAATAATCTGAAGCAATTACTTTATAGAAATCTATTCTTTAATAGAAAATGTCTATATCAGGATCTATACATATTGATTAAGGCAAATGTAATTATTTATTAATTAAAAATATTATAAGATCCTAATGTCCATAGAATCTCTGTTCAATAACCACTTTAAATTATTGAAGAAGATATAATTGATGAGACTCCAACAGTATAATTTTATTCTCCTGAAAATGATGAGGATGTAGAAGCAAAAACAGTTTTTTAATCATTCTCTAAGGAAAATAACGACAATTTTGTAAGTTTTGGAAGCTCATTTGAATAGGAAATATAAAGGAAAAGCGTGTTACTTGGACAAGAGGGCTAACATTTATTTGGAGAGTCAGCTAAAGATTAGGAAGAAAGAATTAGAGATTAATCTCTATTTGGTAAACTTAAATCATGGCGATTGGTTCATCTTATTGTGAAATCTGGAGACAATCTTAAATAAGAGCAATTTGCTATGCAACTCTTATCAACTATAGATTAAATATTTGCTATAGAAGATCTACCTATGAGATTATCAATTTATGAAGTAATTTCGTTAGGACCTAATTATGGATTAATTGAAATGGTGAAAGATGCTATTACAATTGATGCATTAAAACGATAATTATGGAATAGACAATAAACATTAAATTAATTCTTCGAGTAATCAGTATTTCTGTTCGATTATTAGTGATAATTTTAGTGATCGTCATCGAACCAATTTCATGCATAGCTTAGTTGGATATTCTCTAGCCTGTTACATTCTTCAACTTAAAGATAGACATAATGGCAATATTTTATTAAAAAGAGATGGCCATCTAGTTCATATTGATTTTGGATTTTTCTTAGGAAATGCTCCTGGAAAAGGAATAGAAATTGAAAATAAAGTTCCTTTTAAATTATTAAATGAATATATTGAAATATTAGGTGGTCTTTAAAGTGACTTATTTAAAAAATTCAGAGAACTATTTTATAAAGGCTTTATGGCACTTAGAAAACATAGTGACAGAATTTTATTACTTGTAAAAATGATGTAATTTATTTATTTTTAATCTTAAGGTATTCAGGATAAAAAAACTCTATGCCTTGTTTTAAAAGAGGAGATAAATCAATTACTTTATTAGAAGAAAGATTTTTTTAGGATGAAAATGATAATCAAAAACTGAATGTTATTTGCTAAAAGTAAAATCTAATTATGTTAATATAGCATCATTAATTCTTCCATAGATAATTGGAGAGCAAAATGGTATGACAAATACCAATATTATGTTCAAGGAATTTTTTATTGATTTATTAATATAATTATTAAATATCTAATATAGATAAAACTATCTGTTTTTTCATCTAATTAATCATATAAATAAAAAAATAATCTTCTTAAACAAAAAATGAAAGATTTTAAGTACTCTTGAATTAAAACCAAACAGTCAGCCATTTAAATTACTTCTTTTTAAGCATTTATTTTAATCTAAGAATTTTTAAACATAATAAATTTTAGTTAAATTCTATTATTTTTATTTTAATAAATTATTAGGTTCGATCTTATAAAATTTGGTGAAAAGAATCAATAATAATTCCTATTAAATTTTATAGAATTTTTTGTGGATAATTAAGACCTTATTAAGATTTTCTACTATTTGAATCACCCATATTGATTCATAGTTATGACTTTGTTTAAATATGAATTTCTTAAAGATTTATTCTTAAAAAAATTAAGAGAATAGAAAGCATAAACCTCTAATAATTTATTTTGAAGATGAGAGCTAATATATCTCAAGTGGAAAATCTTAATTTTTAATGAAAATTTCTAAGAGTGCTTTAATAATGAATTTTTTAAAAGAATTTATTTTCCTTAATCTAAATATAATGAAAAGTTCATAAAAATTACTAATTAACTAGTATATATTCAGAATAAATTAAATAAGTATAGTTTTAAAATTTTAATTTAATATTTAAAGAGATATTTAAGTCAGAAATGAAGCTTTTTAGAAAAGAAATATAATAATTAAGAAGTGAAATTAGAGGAAATCAAAAGAAATGTTAAAAAATTTTGATAGAATGAAAAGAATTAAATTATATAATTTTTAATCTTTAACTAGTATAATTTAAGAGTTAATTGCAAGTGTAAAAAATAAAAGAGAGAATATTGCATCTATATTTTTTTGTGTAATATTTTAAGAAATTTAAAATAATAATAAAATTCTAGATTTTAGTAGTTATGATATGGTTGTATCAATTTTGGTTTCTTAAAACGGTAAGTAAATATTGATATATACTTTGCCAAAGTTTTGACATAATATTCTATGGTATAATTTTCATAATCAATATTATTATGAAATAAAATCAAAATTCATCTCCTCTAATTCTTCTTGCTAAATTAATGTCTCTCTACATAACAGTCATTCTTTTAGCATGGTGTGCACAAAGAACACTATCTTCTAAGAGATTAACTATAAATGCTTCGGTTGCCTCTTATAAGGCAAATATGGCGCTACTTTAAAATCTCATTTCTTTTTCATTTACTCCTGCTAACTCTCTTATTAATCTTTAAAAAGGAATCTTCCTTATTAATAATCTAGAGCTCTCTTAAAATTTTCTGATTTCTTTTAGAGCAACTGTTCCTGGTCTAAATCTATGAGGTTTTCTTTCTTTTCTTTAAGATTTCATTTTTTTCCCTTAAGTTTTGGCTATACTCTTTTTTGACATTTCTTTGCCTTCCTTTGTTCTGGCCATTCTTGAAATAGAGGGAAAAATAAATAAAACAAATATTATTCATCATTAATGATTTTTCCGTAAAATTTAAATTTAAATTACCTACATAATATACTGAATTATGTACTTAATATTTTATAAAAACTTACAGAAATTCATTTTCTATACATAATATTATAAATAATATTTATTTATCAAATTTTAAGCTTTTTATATTAAAATTATAAAAAATACAATAAAATATATTAACTCTAATTAACTAGAGGATATTATGTAGATAATAATCATTAAATATTTGAACGTGGGGTAATAGCTCATTTGGTAGAGCGTATGCTTAGCATGCATGAGGCGCTGAGATCGAAGCTCGGTTGCTCCATATTTTTTTAATTTTTACAATAATTTTACACGTATTATATTATTATTATTTATATGTTATTATTATATGTAAAAATGTAATAGTTTTACCTTTAATCTATTTACTATTAATCTTAAACTTATTTATCTAGTCTAAGCAATTAATAATTAAAAAGCTATTCATTTTATAAATGATAAAGCACTCATAAAAATCATTATGAATATTAAAAATGATGATTTAACTTAAAATTATTACAAAGTCATTATTCAACAACAAGATGCTTCAAATACTAAATCTGGAGGGTTTTATAAATTATATTGCAATTATATTAAAATTAGATATTTATTTTTTTAAATAAATAATGAACACCTAATAGGCTTAAAGACCTCAAAAATAAAAACTTGATCCAGCAGATAACCAATTACATGTGTCATCAAAGAAAACTGCTAAGGAATTCATTTTCATTGCTAAAATATTTTTGAAGAAATTCAATAATGTTGAATTACATGCATTAGGTGAAGCTACAAAGATCAGTGTTAGAGTAGCTGAAAATTTATAGAGATAAGGTATTATTAATCTAATTCTCTAGGTTTAATTACAATAACTAAAATTAATTCTTTCACAACCGATATTGAAGGAAGAAAAAGAGTGAAATTGGTTATCACTTTACAATTGACCTAAGATGGAAAAGCAAGAATCGATCAAGAATTATAAGCTTGAGTGATTAAATGATAGCAATCGTATACATATATTAATTTGTTTATATCTAACCTTATGATCCTTAAAATGTCTTATCTATGTCACATTGTTGGATCTATATCCTTTGACATGAACATTAAAAATAAAATTACAAAATATTAATATTTTACACTAACATACAGAATTCTCAAAACTTGCAATTAATATTAAACTTACTATTGGATTGATCACCAATCAAATTCAATTCCAATAATATTAATTTTTCTTCTTAATGTTTATGATTTAACCACTTATACATGTTTTGGTTCAATCAGAAACTATTTGTGCTCAGTATCTAATTAAGAATATTTTATATTAATTTCTTTCATCCAAAATATGTAAATGAAATCAAATATGATACTTACTTCTAAGATATTCATTATTTTATTTAAAAAATAGTTTTTCATTTTAAAGAGTCAAAATGATTACTTTTAAACATAATAAATCCTACTTATATTGTAGTAGGCATTCTTTATTATAATGTAATTTAATCAATATTTTTGATTTGAATCTACATTGAAATTTATACATACTGTATATTTTGTATAGCTATCAATTATTAATTTTTAAAATTTTAAAACTGAAATCTGTTTTGTTAATTTTAAGGAACATTATTCATTTTTTTTAGGATGATAGTGATACTATTTGTAATATATTTTATTTTATGTTATATATATTTATTAGCTTTCTAGTTTATATATTCAAATAATTGCTTTAAAATAATTTTCATTAACATTTAAGTCTTTAAAATAAAAGGGATTGTCATTCTTAACTATTTAAAAGAAATGATTTTGATAATTCATTTATTTTTAATAATAATGTAATTTAATTTTAGGATATACCAGTAAATCTGTTTTTTGTTTAGTTCTTAGATTCTCTATTTAAGATATGTTTAGTAATCTATTTTTTATTGATTTTATAAATAGATTTTGAATAAAAATATAGATTTGTTCGAATTATTTTGTTGATGAAGAATAGAGAAATCTATTTTTAATTTTGGGTTCTAAGTTATTAATATGAAATTTAATTCAATATATATGTAATTAAAATCAAAATATAAATATGGACGCATATTATGAGGATTACACGCCTGCAACCAACAACAAAGATGTAAGAGATATATAAAATTAGATAAAAATATATCGAAATGGAGACTCAAATTTATGTTGTACATTAACAATAAGAGATAATACAAAATTTCATGAAATACGTAAATCGTTGCAATAAAAATGGGACACATATTTTAATCGGCTTCGTTTATTTAATTAAGAAGGAGTGGAGATTACAGAAGATGATTTGGATTATATAAAAAATGGAACTGTGCTTTTTGCATCTAAAGGTATGAAAACCAAAAATAATTTTTTAGGCGAAGAATTTGATGAAAGTTTTTAATTAGCAGAATATGAATAACTTTAAGATATAGGAGAAGGAGGATTTGGTAAGGTTGTTTTAGGAAGACACAAATAAACAGGAGAAAAAGTAGCTATAAAAATGGTTAAATAAACACTGACTAATGCTTAAGTAATTATAAATCAATATTTAGGATGTTGATATGATTTTTAGAGAAGCAAGAGCTCTTAAATCTTTAAAACATGATAACATAGTAAAGATTTATAATGCTTTTTTTTTGTAAAATTTGTAAACAGTTTATATAATGGAATATTTGGAAGGAGGTGAGTTACTATAATATTTACAAACAAAAGGAAGATTTGAAGAAAATGAAGCAAGACATTATTTTAAATAACTTGTAAGTGCAATATCTTATTGTCATTAAAAAAAAATAATTCATAGAGATTTAAAATTAGAAAATTTGTTGTTAACAAGTAAAGATTCAGGTATAATAAAATGTATTGATTTTGGAATATCTGGTTTTGCTTCAAATGATAATCCTGAAAATGCAGATGCAGGAAGTTTAAGATATATGGCACCAGAATTATTAAAAGGTATTTTTATAATAAATAAATTTAGGAATGGATAAAGCAGTATCTCCGTTAGTAGATGTATGGTCTATGGGTATAATTTTATATGGAATGTTATTTGGAACTCTACCTTTCACAGGTAATACAAATAAAGAAATTATTACTTAAATATCTGAAGGTAAAGTAATGATCCCAAATGATTTTAATAATAAATTATCTTAAAACTGTTAAGATTGCCTTTATCGTACTTTAGAACCAGATCCAAAAAAAAGAATTACTTCAATTGAACTTTTAAATCATCCATTTGTGACTAATGAAAATACTCTTAGTACAAATTCAAACAGTACAAATAAGTATTAAAATTATATAATTAAGACCAAAAATCTAAACATAACTTTAATAAATAGATGAAGATGAAAATCCTGGTTTAAAATAAGTATAATCTGCAACAAATAAAAAATAAAATCTTTAATTTACAAAACAGCATCCTTAAAGTTCAAGATAATTAATTTAGACTTAGAAAAAAACTAGTTAATAATCCCCTTTATTATTATAAAAGTAATCATAATCTGTTGGATAAACAACTAAGATGACTAAGTTTAGTAAAAAATGATAAATATTGTTAATATAAATATATATATATATAATATAAGAAGAATTTCAAGTTTCTTTGGAATGTAATTTTCTAGAACCTGAGTTAACTGATATTGCATTAGCTTCATCAGATATTCCTAATTCTTATTCTAATTCACCTAAAGATATTTCTTATTTTTAATCCATTTCTAACAATAGATATAATTTAAATACTTATTTTATCATCTTCATCCTCTTCTAATTCCATATTTGGATAAAATGAATAAGGGACATCATGAAAATGAATTCCTGGAGAATTTTCTAAATTTTTGAGATGATCATAAACTTATGATACTATTTTATTTAAATCTTCACTTTTATTTCTATTTTCTACATTTTCTTAGATTGGAAAATGTAAATGATAATCTCCTTTGTAATTTTAATAATAAATATCATTGGCAGGAATAGGCTTATATATTTAAATAATGAAATTACCTCATCAATATTTTATCCTAAACATATGCCTGTTTCATAAGCCCAACATCTAGATACATTCTAAATTGTATATCCTCCTCCACCTAAAAGAATTAATGGAACCCCAAATTATTTCATATAAGTTATACATTATCCATGACCTCTTAAATTTTTAAATTAAATTTTACTTTATAGATAAATTTAATGCTCCTAAGCGATCTAAAGATAATGAATCTGCACCACATTATATAACAACACAATCAGGACGAAATGTTTCCATTACTCTACTAGTTACTTTTTTAAATAATTCTAAATAAGGTCCATCAGATATTCCTGGTTTTAATGGCACATTAACTGCATAATATCTTCCTACTCCTAATCCTACAGAATTTAATTATCCTGTCCCTGGAAAGAAATCATCTCCATATTAATGAAATGAAAGAGTCATCACTCTATTTGTTAAATAAAATGCTTCTTCTACTCCATCTCCATGATGACAATCAATATCTACATACAATACTCTAACATATATTCTTAGTAGTTCCAATATGCACAAAACTATATCATTTATATAACAAAATCCAGCTGCCTCTTTCTTTTTAGCATGATGCAATCCACCTGACCAATTTATTGCTATATCTGCTTATCCAGTTAATATTGTATGTGCACAATCTATACTTGCACCTGCACTAAATTAACAATAAGAGAATAGTCCTTAAAAAGTAGGATTATCTGCTGAATCTCCAACTTTATATTCTGTATTCAGATTTTTACTACTCTTATTTTAACTCCATTTTGTTATTAATTTATATTCTTCCAATAAATTTTCAGGTATTACACCATCATTATTTGTTGAACAATACTCCTTTACAAAATTTACCTTATTTTCACTCATATATTAACTTAAATATGTAACATATTCAGGATCATGAAATTTCTTTAATTCCTCTAGTTATGCTTCTCTTATCAAATATACATCCAATGATCTATATAGTCTATCTTTATATATATTCTCAACTACCCAAAATTTACTATTAAGCTATGAGCCATTGCAATACGTTTTGGTTTCATTGGATGCTCCTTACCATAATGAAATTTCCCTATCAGTCTATTATAAAAGTATGCCACTCGTCTACTTGAATCTGAATCAGCTTAAATCATATGTTAATTATTTAATTATTATATTTAATTTATATTTCAATAAATGCTATTTTAAATTATATTATATCTAT